ATATAAAACAAGAGGAGGAAAATTTATCAAAACAGGAGCAAACAAAATCTGGAGCAGCTGTGCATGGCAACCACTCAGCATCTCTCATTTTTAAATCTTAATTGAACAAACTGAAGAGAGAAGCTGATTGGTTGCCATGGGCAACTGCTCCAGATTTTGTCTGCTCCAGTTTTGATAAATGCTCCTCAAGGTGAAATGCCCAGTTGGGTATAATGCAGCTCTCTAGCAAATGACATGCCGTCCAAGGTTTCCATCAATTCACCTGTGATGTTAGAAGCTGTACGCAATGGGGTTGATTTACTAAAGGAGCAGAACATGTTCACTTTGCAAAGGGAGTTTTCACGTGGCTTGGTGAATGAGGTGAAGCTGTTGCTGAATTCAGACCTTGGCAAGCAAAACTTTTTTTTTTTTGCACATTAGATAATTTTTGAAAAGTCAGTTTGTTTGTTTTTTGGCTTCTCATAAACTGAGTAAAGTAAAAAATTGACTTGCAAATAGAGCTGCAGCTAACGATTATTTTCAAAATCGATTAGTTAGCCGATTATTAAGTTCGATTAATCGGTTAATCGGATAAAAAATACATTTTAAAAAATGGCAAATGAACATGCTCCTTTTAATAATGTAGCCCCACAGAAGCTTGTCGTCTAAGTGCAGACTTACAGATTTTAAAGAAAAAGAAATGCAGTTTTGTGGATGGTTGATTTGAACCCGTACCCAGATCCTACACATGTGTTAACAGCCAATTAGCAGTCTTTTCAAAATATAAGGACAGGACTTTGCTGCTTTGCACCCAGGCCAGTATTTTCTTGATCTACCTTTTTGATTTTCTATTTTTGTTGAGCAGGCATTTATATCGGACATGAAAAAATATTTACAGTTTTACTTCTTTGTAAACAGAAGTTCACTTTTTTAGCTAATAGAGGTGAACAAAGAACACTAAGTACACAAATGAACCTATTTTTAGGTTTTGACTATATTGTAGAATCAGATTAGCCGTATGTCTGACTGTGTGTTTTTTCTTCGCAAACCAGGGAAGGGAAGGTTTGGGTAATGAAGTATTTTTGACCTTCAGATGTTATCCCTTCTAAAATTGGTCTGTGACCCAGCACCTTCAACTATCTCACGCCACTGTCCCCACTTCCTGTTCACATTCTGTAGCGAGTCCATCTTGTAAAGCTCTGCTCACTTTCATGTTACTCCATGTTTAGATGGATTGAACGTTACAGTAGAACTGACACCAGTTTTTTTTTTTTATTTTGGGTAGTATACTATAAGGAACTCCCTCCCAAGAGGAAATCCCTCTCAAGAGGTAAATACCTGGTGGTTGACAGGGTCCCCAGAACTAGTGTCCCCATTGGAAGATTTTTCATCTATTCCCGTTCAGATGACAACCCAAAAGGTGAAATGTTGTTGCCCTCAGTGATGATGGTCATCAGGACAAATAGAGAACACGGGGACACAGATGGCAATAAAAACTGACGGGGGTTCTAATCACTCTAAAAAAAAAAAAAGAAACAAAAAAAAAAGTTTTAGCTTCAGTTGCACTTTAAGGCTGGCCATACACTTTACAGTCTGATTGGACCATCTCTCCTTTAGATCTACCATCAACCACCAGTAGGGGCCTACCTGATGTGATAGACCTTTCTATGCATTTAAAACTGTGCAAAAACGGCCCGGCATCTTAATCGCCTAGGTGTGAGCCTAGCCTTATGGATTGTTTGGGTTTACCAAAGCGATGCAATGTGGATGGCAAACCCAAAGACGATTTTCTAATGACACGCTGCCCGGCTTCCTGATTCCCCGGGAAGCTGGCTCAATGTTTGGCCAGCTCGATGCTGATTGGCTGGGTAACTACTTGCTTCCTCATCTTCCTGATTGCCCAGGAAGCCAGCTCCATGTTCCCCTATGGCACTGCCGGTCAGAAGAAATTGTCCTCTGACCGGATGTTCGGTATCGGGGAAGGTATAGGAGCATTTGAGCAAGTACAAGCACTCGCCCAAATACTCGGTATCGATGCTAGTATCAGTATCTGTGCATCCCTAGTTTTTATTGCTGTGTCCCCATGCTGGGGAGAGTCAGCCCCCTGTTTTTCAGTCATGGTGACAGTTGTCACTGAGACAATATCTAAAATGTGTTGTTATCAGAGCAAGAAGTGAAAGAAAATCCTACGTTCAGGATACCTGCTCTTAGCTCAAAGATGGGAATTCAATTCCACTTGGAGGTTTCCTGAGGTGCTTTCCATGTACTTTAAAGCCTGGCTCCAGCCTAAAATCCTTGATTTTGGACAGATTGAAGACGTTTGTTGACATCAAAGTGTATTAATAGAATGCATTTTGGCCTGCTTGTGGTATCTATGACTATTTTGAGAGCCACATGATTCACAATAGGTATTGCGTGGGTTTAGCTTCCTAAAACACCACAAGCGGACTGTATATAATTGGGTTTCTGTGAGGTGTCTTTTGAGGAGATCAGAAAAAGACACTATTTAAGATGGGGGGGAGGGTGTATGGAGAAGGTAAAATACCACTACATGAGAAGTTAATGTTTTCTGTAATAAAAATTATTTTTTTCACCTGAGCAAATCCCATTTCTATACCTGTGCAGCATTTGTAAACTGAGCAGTTCATTGACAAAGGCTCATGAGGTAAAGCGGCAGATACAGTTGAAATAAGTTATGAGGCTTTGGTGGTCTGACCCTACAGCCTGGCATAGAAAAGGTTTTAGTCGAAATGCTTTTGTGTCCTTCCCCACTGTGCCTCCTCACATGCCGCTTCCTCTAGGCTTTGCATGCGCTGACATTTTCTTTGATGAGGAAGCTGCAGACTTTAACATGTCAGGGGTTGTCTGCTGTGGAGAGCAATAGGTTATATGCTTCAGTCCACCCACACAGCTGTGCATGCTTCACAGATGGCTAGAGGAGGCCAGAGTCGGGCCTTATGCTTGTTTCCAGGCTCATGTTCTGTTGTCTCTAGAAAAGAATTGAACTTGCGTGCTCTCTGCAGTCTGTTTATAGATGCCATGACGAGAACACGGCAGAGCTTAGCTGTTTAATTATGAATGCATTAAAGAAAATCAGAGCTGCATTATATCCAAAGATTTGGGTAGCATAATATGTGCATATTGCCATTATTCAGTAGAGTTTTCATGTTCTCCTTGCCTAAATATATTTTAAGGCTGGACAGATCCCAAGAGAAAGGTAGCCAATGGTCCTTATAATTATAGCTGGCTCCTAGCTTTCACGGCTTTTGCTAGTTGTTGTCAATGGAGCTTGCTCCTGAAAACAAAAAAACCCTGATTGCTCCAGGATTGGACGGACTGGCTTCTTAATGTGCCCATCCCCAATGGGTATATAAATAAAACTTGATTCAATAAGCTTGAATACAAGGATCATTTTTAATATTTTATTTTTTAATAACTGTGTGACGGTTTTCAAATCATTAGATTTAGCTGAAAATAACTAAATTTTTTTTTAAAATCTGAATCTGGGGTTTTAGCTTTGTGAATTGAGCCCTTTTGTCTAAATATATCTTCAGTTCTGCATTTGTGATTCATTTTACTTCTAGTCCTGTATTTAACCAATGCCTGTTGGCTCGGGTTCAGGTTTCAAAAATATTTATTCTGTTTCGAAGAGGCACGAATAAACATTTAATATAAACATTTAGCTCAGGGGTGGTTTTTAAATGAGTGTGTTTAATTGCCACACAGTACAAGATTTATCCATTTGTGTTCCATGCTCTATGCCAGAAGTGTAACATTTTATGTGTTTTTGTGCTTCCCATATGTACGCCATGGCCAAACGGCATCATTAAATATGCTATCAGTTTATGTGTACATCTGTCCAGTGAAAGATGAGTTCTTGATGCCTGTAGCAACCAAATTTTCATTCCTTCTTTCCTTTTGGGCTTGTTCAGACCAATGCCCCGTCAGCTCAGAAAACCACAAATGTAATTCCTGCTCATGTTTGGAAGTGAAGCTGTTGGCACTGAAGTGCCTTTGGAAGCAGCCTACGTATAACAGCTTGGTTGCTCTTTCCTTAGCCCCCCATTCGCACTTCAGCGTACATTTTTCACGCATTTTCAGGCTTGAGGTGGTTTTGTTTTAGTCAATATAAACCTAATTACTAGTCGCAAAATCACACATTTTTCATGTTGAGCATTGGCTTGAAATGTTTTGGTGTGGATAGGGAGTCCTCAAAAGACACCTTATTTCACCAAATCTGCACCTGGAAAACCATTTGGACCTTTGGGGCATGGGTCTGAATTGAAGTTCATAGGTAGCCACAACAATATGGGGCCTATTAGTAGAATCTGGTTGATGCTTGTTCCTTCAGGCACTGGGTCATCAGGCAGGAGTTTTGAGATCGACCAGTGCCCTGTGAGATCGACCAGTGCCCTATGAGCCATATTTTGATTAAGCGTAAGCTGTTTTCATTCCTGAATTGGTTGTTTTAACAACACAGCCTGTCAATTTGCATGGAGATATCAAGTGCAACAAGGCAAAAGGTGACTGCTTTTCAGACGCAACTCTGTTATTTCATTAGCCATAAAATTGGATTAATCACAAAGGCACAAGCCCCCACTTTTTCTGTAAGGACCACTTCTTATGACAGGGCTAGGCAAATTCCAGGAGCCAACTAGCCAATGCTACTTAAAATTTACAGCTGACACTAAACTTTTGAGGTTTTATCTAGTTTTTGCTGACTCCTGAATTCCATATTAATTTGTCCACCCCTGTCTTATGACACATGACTGAGGCTTAAGTTACTGTATGTAGTATACAATACTAGATGTGAGGTCCACCTTTCAGAATGGTTGACATATCTATATTCAAGCAATGGGTGCATTCTTCCAAGTGACCTCCTAACTTGGCAGAGGGCATTATAATAGAAGTGTAAAGCAGCGGATAGAATTTTTCTTTCTGTGTATATCTGATATGTGACTTATCATTGCGACAATCCATTAATCTTTACTTTTCTGTTTCTCCCTTTTGCCATCATTAAGTGGCTAAAAGCCAAGGTAAGAGGTGCTCTTTCTCATATAAACCCAACCACTCAATAACCGAGGCTGCATCGCTATCCGTCCATTACAACTTTCCATCCTTTCCTTCTTTCTCCTTTGTTGGCTGTTGCTCAGGATATAGTTCATTGTCTGTACAGAGTGACGTGGCAATATATCATCGATGTATTGACACCATGGTAGTAACGCCATCTAATCTAATCCTAGCGCTTTCCTCATTTTATAGATCTCTGCTTTCTTGACTTGCATTTTATGGAAGGCTTCCCAGACAACTGGTTTCATCTATGTCTATGACATAAGGCTCTTCAGACAGATGCTTAAGGGCGTGTGCTATTTTTTTTTCTATTAATGGTTGAATCATAGTATATTTGGGGGGGGATGACTAGATCATGGCGTTCTAATAAAATTGGCATTTTTTTGCAAGTCGCCTTGCAATGTTGTTATAGCAATATTTGGCCTTTTTTGTTCATGTAGTACTGCCACTTATAGAGTTAGTACAACATTCAGTAAATACAGTAAATATTGCAATCTCTGTAAAGTATGTCTGGGCAAAAAAAAACATATTACATATATATGCAGATTTCCCTGGATTTTTTCTTTTAGAATAAAAAAAAAAAAAAAAAAAAATTCCATAAAAATGCCTGTTGAACCTGCTAGATAGCCAGCGAGCTCCTAACTTCCTGTTTAAGACAACACTGCTGCACTAAAACCTCCAGCAGTGTTATTAGCCCTGCCTGAGGTCTCCCATGCCAGACTATAATGGTCCCTTGCCCATTATGTTGTGGAGAGGAAAGAGGGGGAGGTGTCTTGTAGCCCAGAAAGAAGAAAGACTGTGTTGTCAACTTTAAACAGGAAGTTAGGGGCACACTGAACAGATCTGACAGATCAAGACAGGTATTTTTCTTTACTTGCAGGGTTGCTTTTTTAAATTTTGCTCAGACAATCATTTTAAACTTACCACCCCAAATATTTTTGCTTTACAGAACAGGAAAAAATTATATAGTTTATTTCTTAGAATAATTCTTGCTAGGAAATTTATAGGTATCAATACTCTTAAGCTGAAAGTTTTTTTATTTGAGGCAAAATCTTAATTTAATGTAATAAACCTTTTAAATTAACCAGAAGTCCTTGTGATCGACTCTTTAAGCGGTGTCTGGGAATCCTAACATTTTTTATTTTTGTAATATAAGTTTTACTTATAGAAATTAGATTTTGTGTTGACTGGAATTTTGTGTAATAGTAACATATTTCATTGTTATTTTATCCAGCACGGTGGTAACCAGGCAGCAAGGACTGGCACTTTGACCCGAACAAATCCCCCTACCCAGAAGCCACCCAGTCCACCGATGCCAGGACGGGGTACCTTGGGGTAATAATTTTGCCTAACCTTCTAAAGTGTGGGTATGAGAGGTGTCAGATTTTCCCTTCAAGATGCACTCCATGCAAAACTAAAAATTAAACCATGCCTTTCATACAATGGACATCAGCCCATCTGTCAATGTGTTGCTGTTATGCACCAGGCCACCACACCTCTGCACCGCCGAAAATTACATTGGTGCCTGTAAGGTGGCATTTTGTCAACATCCGCTTATTTCTAGAATTTCAGATCAGTCATTCTGGTGTTTGCCTTATATGCACCCCTTGCTTCTTTCTGTTCATGTGCCCCCTGTTGGTCCCCTTTTCCCTGAACTGGTTCTGGCTTCCTCTGTTGGCTCAGACGCTCCACCACTACCAATCTAATGGCCTACTGCATCCCTTCCTAAACTCCATGTAAGCAACATTAAGTTGCTGCCCTACCAAATACCTGACCTCAAAGGATGCCACTGTATTCCAGCTGGATTTTGTTATGACAAAAATAATGGGCATACAGAATCATAATGTACGAATGCTCAGTTCCCTGAGTTGAGAAGAAAACCACAGGGTGTAGGCCAAATTGCTCCAATGTGCCCAACACCTGACTTCTCCTTCGACATCCCAGTCATCCCCCAGTCCTGTTCACTAGTTATCTAATATCTTTGGCTACCTCTGCTTCAATGGGATTTGCCAGCTAAAGCTGTCTGCATTTCGTTTTACAGGAGAAACACCCCATACAAAACTCTGGAGCCCGTCAAACCTCCAACGGTTCCAAACGATTACATGACCAGTCCAGCCAGGCTTGGAAGTCAGCACAGTCCCGGTAGAACTGCTTCTTTGACCCAGAGGCCAAGAACGCACAGGTAATAGATTATAACGCTGTGTACTGGGGCCGTGATGGTGGCTTTGTGTCTACAGTGTCGGAGGATTTCCAAACTGTGTTTTCTATTCACCTCCTGAGTTGTATTCTACTAGTTTCACTGCAATATTTCATCATAATGCTTCCCGAGAGCCAGGTAAGTAATGTTCCTAAAAGAATATTGCAAATACTCCTAACTCTAATGAAAGAACAGGTTTTATAGCGCCTTAAAAAACAAACAAACGCAACATCTCGTGTTACTAGATTGGAAAAATTGGCTCCTGAGTTGTTGAATAATTTATGAACATGATCCCGATTTGTTCAGTCAAACGAGAAATAAATATGCAACCATTCCTGACCCCTTTTGAAAATGCTAGTTGCTTGGCTGTGTTTGCAGAGTTTTGTCTCCCTGACCTTGTAGATGTATGAATTGGGTTTCGGACACATTTATATTCATATTTTTCAGTCATTCACTCAGAATGAACAAGAAGATGCTAGCATTTTACGAAAGAGAAGTTGTCCATGACATCCTAAATATTTCACTCTAATACAGTTTTCCTTTATGGCTTGTGTATATGGGTATGAGATCAGAACTGCTTTTCTCCCCATACAAGTCAATGGGAATGCAAAATCAGCTTGATGCAGGTCAGGGGGAACTCCAAAGGATCTCCAAAGAGTCTCAAACTCATCTCAGATGCAAGTTCCAAAGTAGAACTAAACCCTGTTGCAATAAGTTCTGTAGTAAAACTGGTCAGCTTGTTATGCGCTACACGTCTGTTGTTGTGTGGATGCTCCTGGGGATTTAGGGAGGACGGGTTCATGGGTAGCAATCAAGCTGTTGCTACGCTTGCATCTGTCAGAGGGCACAGCCAAGGGTGACTACGTTGCTTCTGCTCAGAGCCACAGATTGAGGAGCAGTGCAAAAATAGGACACATACTAGTGGAAATGGATGGTAGGCTACCATGTATTGATTTGTATTGTCCTGACAGCATGTTGCATTTTGGCATCTACACAAGCCCTAAATCTCATAATTTAGTTCAGCAATAGATACTACAAGTTCTACATTGTAACATGCAGCAGTTTTGAGCTGTTATTTTTTTACATCCTAAAGGCCACCACCTAAAACTGGTAGAGAAAAGATTTAACCACAAGGGGCGTAGGGTCTTTTTTTCAGTTGGAACGGTTAAAATCTGGAACTCGCTGCCACAAGAAGTGGTATCAGCTGAGAGTGTTGAATCATTCAAAGAGCATTTAGACACCTTCCTCAGAGACCATAACATACAGGGGTACAGGTACTCCTAAAAACTAGACCACACAGGGACTCGTGTACACATTCACATACAGACAAAGAAAGGTTGAACTTGATGGACCTGTGTCTCTATTCAACCTCAAATACTATGGAACTTTAACATCCTCTGTTATGTCCTGTTAACAGCGGCAGTAGCGGAGGAAGTGGCAGTCGAGAAAACAGTGGCAGCAGCAGTATTGGCATTCCAATTGCTGTCCCTACACCTTCACCACCAACTGTCGGGCCAGGTAAGGCTGATCCTCAGTTCATTTTCTCTGTTACTGAGCCACTAGTAAGATTTAGAGAGTACATACAATCCATATTAAAGTCGTCTGGTTTTAGTAAGCTATGCAATTTTTTTTCCCTCTTTTTATTAATAGAAATATGACCCATTGGTAGCTAGCAATTAAGAACAAAGTAACCCTGACTTATTTAGGGCTCGCAGAACAACTTGTGTTGTACTGTGCCCTTGCATAGTAGTAAAACGATGCAAGGACATTAAGCTTTTACCATTATAGTCAGTTTATTGTTTGCGCAAACACCTGGACTAGGCACACCCAAAGGTGTTTCCTTATCCTAGATGTGTTTTCACATTCGTGGCACTGCAATGTTTTTAAGTTGATATAGAATGTTTTAGCACACTTTTAAAGATGCATTTGTCTAGAAAATAATTGAGCTGTTAAGTAGGACTGTTGCCCATTGCAGCCACGTATGTGTGCATTAAATCTCCTAAACTGTTCTAGGTATAAATGGCCAGTTTCAAGCTAGTCCTTATGAGCCCCATTATTGCAGAGATTCTTAAGCCAGTCCTCACTTTTCCAAGATAGGCTTAAGTTCTTACATTGGAGAGGTTGAGGATGGGTTTTGGGGTCTCTTCGTCTCTTCTTAAATATCATGTTCTGAGTCTTCAAAGCGTCACTTGAAAAGTCTTTTTATGTTCTGACAATACACATTATTTCACTACCCAAACTCCCCCAGGTATCTCTGGTGGTCCCACACCTTCACCACCACCACCTCCTCCTCCGCCACCTCCCCCTCCTCCAGGTGAGACTTCCACGACATGGAGTATGGGTGACTTCTTACATTAATCAATTCATGGTGGTTTCAAGGTGTACCAATAATTGTAGATTCATTTCCTGGTGTTAATGATCCATAGGTGATTCTCACACGACTTATCATGTATCTCTAATCCATGTAATATCATCTGGTGTAAAAAAAAAAAAAAAGCCTCTGAAGTGAAATAGAATATTTTTGTTGCCATGTCTTCCAGTTGAAAGTATTTTAGTATTTTTTTTTCCCCCTAAGTTGTGTACTTTTTGGTTTATTGCACATAGATAATGTATACCAGTCCTATCAGATGTCTATGAGCCACTTTGTAGCCCTCTTCCATCTTCATTCCGGTTTCATCTTACTCAACCACTCATAAAATGTAGAGCTAACCAGACCCAAAGTGATTTGTAGGTCCTTTTAGTGTAGAGCAGACTGGAAAGCGTTTCCGAGCACCACTGGTAATGGTGGAAGCAGTTGCTGACGAAGGGGTTTTAAATTGTGCTTTTCAGTTATGTTGGTAACAAAAGACTTTAGTGTTACATGTATGTAATTGCAGTTATTTATAATGATGGATAATTGCAGACAATGTTTATTGCCTATAGAATACACTGTCTCGCATACAGTACCTAGTAGAGTGCTTGTAGGATCTAACTGAAAAGCATCCCATCTGACGTGTAGGAATACTCCTTTCCAACTCCTGTCATTGGGAGCGGCAGCACATGAGCTTTCCCTAGGAGGTGAGTTACCATCGCCTCTGGGATACACGTCTAGTTTCAGCAGGAAAAGTTTGTGACGTCACTACAGCACAAGTTTAGCAGAGTCCCTGCATGTTGCATATGTTGTAAACTGGCTAGCCTGGGGCTGCTGTAGCGAATCTCCATAAAGGCATGAAGGAGCCACTTCATGTGTGTTGGAGTAAGCCCTGTGTATGACCCGAGTTTATCATCCATGACGGTCTTCCTCTTCAACAGTGGGTGATCCTTTGCCGGACTGATGGTAGAATAGGGTTTCACACTAGCCATTCTAAAGCTGCCCATATGTGAACGGATCTGATTGGTCTGAACCAAACAATAAAGCAGCATAACAATCCTCTGCTCACCCGGTGTTCACATTCATTCTTCAGTGCGTGTTGGCTGTCATCTCTATCTTTTGAGGTGGCTTGTCCAGTAACATGCGAGTCGGATGCTGCCATTTGCGTCACTATTATTTATTATGAAGAATACTGCACATGTGGCAGCTTCATGTTGCTTCTAGCAGTTAGTGGAGGTGTATAAGCCCACGAGTCTGATGCTCGGTCACCTGTGCAGGCCGGCTTGTGACAGCTGAGACAGGCCCTGTCCAGTACACAGCATTGTGTATATAGAAGATGGAGTATAGCATTGTGCTCGTTCTCCTGTGCAGCTCGGCCTGTGACAACTGAGACAGGAAACGGGTAAATGCAAGTTCCCCTGCTCTACATTTAGCCCTGCTTGCCCGGTAGAGCTAACTGTAGAAAAAAAAGCAGCTGCCCGGCACACGGAACTTCATGTCCCAAGCGTCGGTCGATAGGATTCGCACACCCCTGTGTGTGCGCGCCTCTCTCTCTGTGTGCGCGCCTCTCTCTCTCTGTGTGCGCGCCTCTCTCTCTCTGTGTGCGCGCCTCTCTCTCTGTGTGTGTGTGTGTGTGTGTGTGTGTGTGTGCGTGCACGCGCCTCTCTCTCTCTCTCTGTGTGTGCGCGCCTCTCTCTCTCTGTGCGTGTGTGTGCGCGCGCGCGCCTCTGTGTGTGCGTGTGTGTTACCTGTACTCCCCCAGTTTTTCATAACAGAGAATGTCAGGAACACAAAGCATATGAATGTAATGTGAGCGTTCCTTCCCACGCTTTGTATCATTCATGCTTAAGTGATACGTGGAGTGAATATAGACAGGCTCCCACTAATGCCCATTGATCTTTAGTGAAGGACGCTGCACCTTTCATTCTTGTAGAGCTGCCAAACACATTTTTTTTTTCTCTTGAATTATAAACTAAATGACTTTTCTAACTACCTTCCATAGCATCCACCCCCAGAGCAATTATAACTGACAGAGGAGAGATAGTCATCAGAGTGCTCTGCTGCTTTATGAAACATAAACCATCTTCCTATATTTTTCTAGCCAAGCTTTGTTTTATTATGATGATGATCTGAAGGCTTCCTTAAGTTACATTTCACTTTAGAGGCTTTGCTAAACATCCTGCAGACTTTCCTTGCCATCAGCTATTACGTTTCAATCGAACATGGTTAATAAATAATGACACATTACAATATTACCACTTCCGAGATGTATTATCCTGCAGTACATCTCGCAGACAAATTAGATTGTGTTGGGCCAGATAATTGCAGAAACCGCTGCTTTGCTTCTGCCATATGTTTTTTTTTTTACTGAAGCTGTCCTCATTTTAAAGAGATTCTCCAGGAAAGAAAATGAAACTCTGAAGTGTGTTTTATCACCAGGGGAGATAAGGGAGGTAATGCTGTAGATGCTTGTTCAGCTCCATTTGTATCCTACCGAGATTTTATACTTGCCAATCCTGAAACCATGTTACTATGTGATCCTCCAGAGAGTGCGCTGCTAGTGTTATGTCCCTTTCACAGGTATACCTGTCAGTTCCAATCAGCAGGGGGTCCAGGCACGGACACCCTGCTGATCAGAGAAGCATGGAACGTATGTCAGCGTTGTGACAGCTGTGTCCGTCCAGACCCCTGTTAGGTCTATAGGGAGTCGGATGTAAATGGACATCAGGATGCTCAATCTGCCACAATCAAGTACACCAAAAGGGAACCACACTTGGATGGAGTTGGGGGTAATCGGATGCAAACAGATGTACGTTTGTTTAGATCTGACTGCCCGTAGACTAACATTGGGCTTCTGATCAGATTCGCCTGAAAAACTGACAGAATGCCTGTGTGAAGGGGGGCCAGCTCCTAAATCTGAAAGAGGAGGTATTGTTTGCATAGGTGATCCATTTATGCGTTTCGGGTCTGCATTCCCTTCCTCAGGTCTATAGACCTGCAGTTTTTGTTGGAATGTATGTGTTAGAGAGCGGGGTCCTTAGTGAATAATGGACATACAGGACAAGCCATTAATATGTTGTGGCATTTGTTTCTGTATAAGAAGGGTTTTACTCATTATCAGGCAAAGGATGAGTGTTCAGGCAAAGCTGCAGACTTGTCAACTCTGCCTGCCTATGTCCGTACCCTAAGGCAGGGGTAACAAACCTCCGGCCCTCCAGCTGTGGTGAAACTACAAATCCCATGATGCATCTCTCTTTGGGAGTCGTGGCAGTGAGAATCTTGCAATGCCTCATGGGATTTGTAGTTCCACCACAGCTGGAGGACCGGAGGTTTGCTACCCCTGCCCTAAGGCCTCTTTGGCTTACATCACAAGACCAATGCTTAGACATTTGGTCACATGAACGACATGTAGCCCAAAACAGCAAATTCTGTAGATATATTAAGAATTTAAGTTACATTATACCACTCGTACTAGTATGAGTAAGTCCAGATGGGAAAAGTTTTGTAAGTGTACAAGTCGGCTTTATACCTCTTTCACACGGTGCCGTCTGTTCCTATCTGAAGCGGATCCATGCACAGATCTCCTGCTGATCGGAGCAGTATGGAACGGATGGCACTCTTGTGACATTCCTATCTGTCCAGTTTTTTCCTCCATGATGGAGATAAATATCTAGCTGTATGGACCCATGTTCGGTCTATGGGGAGTCAGATGTAAGCAGACATGTGTCTATGTACATTGTTCCCCCGATCTGTCACAATCGGGTCCACCAAAACGGAATTATGTTCCATTTTTTTTATTTTCTAGAACTAGGGCACGACCCCGTTGTCATGGTGCACATCGGCACCAATGACAAAATAGGAGGAAATTGGAGTGTCCTTAAACAGGAGTTCAGAGACCTAGGTGCTAGGATGAAGGAAAGGACCTCCACGGTAGTTTTCTCAGAGATACTGCCGGTGCCAAGAGCCACTCCGGACAGACAGCGCGAGTTGAGGGAGCTTAACAAGTGGCTCCGGAGCTGGTGTCAGATGGAAGGATTTGGTTTCCTGGAGAACTGGGCTGACTTCGCAGTCGGCTATCGGCTCTTCAGCCGAGACGGGCTGCATCTTAATGGGAAAGGTGCAGCATTCCTGGGAGGGAAAATGGTAGAAAGACTGGAGGAGCTTTTAAACTAGAAAGTGGGGGGGAGGGTATAAAAATAAAATTACTTAAACTAAACGTTGATAATTTAATCAGGACTTGATGGACTAATGTCTTTATTCAACCTCAAATACTATGTAACTATGTAGACGGAGTCGGAAGAAAATGCATATAAATGGAGACATGTCAGTTTACGTCCAGATGCCCATAGAGTAACATTAGGCTTCCTGATTGGACTGCCCGTCTTACACTTCATTCAGATATAAAGCTTTGGCAACTAAGCCATATCCCCCAATTCAGCTTATCTGCTCAATGGTACTTCTATTCCATAGAAGCCGGCTGTACATATAGCCGGCTGGCTTCCTCTGCTAGCTAGTGTTCTTCATTTCTGAATGATCCTGAACCCTGATCTGTGAAAGTGCAAGCAAAACATTTCTGGCTTCCTCGGCCCCAATTCATGTGACAAGGGTTAGTTACAGAGCTAAACATTCCTTTTTTTCCTGGACGGCCTTTTTAAAATGAGGAAATATCCTGTTTTAGTGAATTTTCTGTAGGTCACACGTGACATAAACTGCACTATTGTTGGCAAGAAAGTGTACAGGATGTTTTTTGTTTTTTTTACTCATCCAATGGAGAAATGATGTATTCTGCATGAAGCTAAACCTGCTAATTCCAGACTTATTATTAATTTATTGGTGATGGATTAGAACTTGTGACCCATTCTGTTTTCTTATCAGCAATAAGAATGATGTGTAAATAAAATGATTACTGAAGAAACATTAACCAGAATTTTGTTCCAAAAACCGTTTTATTCCCCCATTGTAGAATCTACTTCTAATGGTGCTCCTTCGTCTGATTCTTGTTCCAGACGAGCAGCCTGGAGTTGTTCTTTAATGGATAATCTTTATCAGTGAATGTAAAAGGGAAACTCCGGAAGATGAGGGATTCCACGATATCCATTTATGTGTTCACTAAAAATAATTCCGTGTAATTTTATTTGAGACTCCTGCGAGCCCCTCTCACAGCAGACAAGGAATGGTGGGGCAGTTACGTGAGCCGCTCCCACCATTCTGTTTGAGCTGTTTTGAGACTGACCTTCTTTTTAATCAAGAGCCTGGTTATATCTTCAGTGATCATTTTTTGGATGTGTGATATATGTACATGGCATTTTGAGCAACTGTTGCAGTGTTTGCATGCTAGAGCAACCTTCCAAGATGGTGACCCAGGTACATAGCTCCAGCCTACTATACACTGTACTATACGTGGTGCATGCTACCTCTTGCAAAGTCAGTATACTTGTGACCATTGTGCCATCGTTGCTCAGCGTTGACCTGCAAGTTTTGGACAGCAGTTCATTTGCATATGATGCCCGGAAGGTAACATCATACGGAGCAGAACTGCCAAATCATCCTGTCTGCAAAATAAGAGGGTGTCCCAGTTGACTGTAAGAATCTTAGCGCTGCCTTGTTGAGGCTTTTGCTTCATGTCCCTGCACTGCATAATGAAGTAACCCATTGCTTTGTGCGGCTCTCTTCGGGTAGCAGTTGGCGGTGGCTCGGCTCCAGGTTCACAGTTTGGCTCAATGGCAAGGCAGATCTCTCGGCACAACTCCAACACTTCCTCTGCTTCTTCCGGAGGATACAGGCGGACCCCCTCTGTGACTTCCCAGTTTTCTGGGCAACCTCATATCAATGGCGGCCCTTTGTATTCACAAAACTCAAGTAAGCTTATGCTTTTCCCATCTGTGTGTGTCTGCTGCATTTGTGCTTGTCACCGTGTGCCTTTTCCATTTTTATCATATACTGTATATAGTTCTAGCATATCCGGTGACTGTTATCTGTGCAAAGCTGAACTCCAGGCATATATTAAACAAAAAAAAGTATTGGTGACAGGAGAAAAGAAAAGGCGTGTTGACTCTTAACGTTTTCGACACTTCCTTTACTTTCCAATCAGCAGTGTAGGGGGTGTGCTCCTGAACTAGTTGTTGTGGTGATGCAGTGGACAAGGGTCTTGCTCTGCGGTCTCAAGGTGTATGGAAGGTGTGCGACCGTTTTTACCGTACGGTCGCACGTCTTTTGTCGAACCAGCATGCTAGAAAACCCGCCGAAAATCGTACGGTTGTCGGCAGTTTTCTAGCCTGCTCGTTCAGACAACTGCGGAACGGGCTGGTGTGTGCACCTGCACACTGCCCGTTCAGCATTGCGATCATCGGAAGCCCGCCCCCAAAGTGGGGTGGGCTTTCGAAGATCGCAAGTACGATCTGCCTGTCCAAGATGGGCAGATTGTACGAGCTTTTAATTCGCTTACGACCATCGCAAGACAAAAGTCTTGCGATGGTTGTAAGGTGTATGAGCACCTTTACAGGGGTACCAAGATCATAAAACTGGCTGCAGAGAATTGGAATTCCCATTGTAACTTTCCTGCCTTGGGTTCGCCTTTACATGTCCTCTGCTTAGGGTGGCGGGATCCATTGCATTTGCGTCATTGGTTTTTTTAAGTATACCTTTTATTATTTATACAGTACTCCCCCTAGAAATATTTAAGCAGTAAAGCTACCACTGGACTCATTGGATCTTGTCCAATACTTCCTGTTTTCAGTGGGCATGAGTATTGGCAGCAGCTGAGTCTCCCAATCAACATGTAAATGCCATCTCATTTCTGTGGCCTGTCCTAAAAGCGATATGGGCTTTTTTTTAGTAGTAAATTGCTGCTTTTCGGGCTCTGATGTGTATCCTCTGGCCTCACTATTTAGCAAGTCGATCTGGACCAAGCATTCCTGCTGTGACTTGCTGCACTTCTGGATTCATTGTTCTGCATTGCGGTAACGCTGAAAATATGTGCTGTGCACTGCCCTGCCATTTATTTTGAATGACTCCGAAATGTACCTTATCACTGCAGCTATGTAACTAAAAACAGCTCGTGCACATTTGGTTGGTAACCCAGCCTGAGTTTGTGGTTCGTGTAAGCATGGAAGCCACAGGATCAGTATGATGGCCATGAAATGATCAACTCAGAGAGCAGTGGCAGCTCCCCTTGATTCTTTCAGGATAGAAATATTCTGAGAGAATGCTGAAGAGGGTCGACATTCATGCTCTCACACTACTTGGGGTACTTTATAAAAATATGATAAGTTGGAAAATGGTCAATTTCTGCGCTTTGCAAAAACAAACGTTTTCTAAATGTTAACATCATGGAATGGTGAGAGTTGTGCACAATAAATAACACAATGCAAGAAAATTGTATGCAGTTTGGAAACATTACTATTATTATTATTATTTGTATTTATTATTATTTGTATTTATTATTATTATTGTTGTTCCCTCCCCATTTCTCACCCACAAGTTTGGCTGGTGAACCTGCATAGGAATTGCAGGGGTACACTCCCCAAAGAGATCAGAGAGCAATGTAATTCCACACAGAGGTTCTAAACCTTCATACTCTTATCCAAAACTATAGACGGTTTGCCTAGAGTTCTTCTTAAACTCTGACTCTAAAGCAATTCAACCACAGATCTTTTTTAGGGAAAAATGTTTTGCATTTCAGATTTAGTTTGGGATCACTGAGATACGTTTGCTATGCATTCATGTTCACATCCATCCAGGGATAAAAGCAAATCCACACGACACATGGCAAAAGCAACAGGAAACATAAGTGTGCACTTTTATAAGATCATACAATCTTACCATCTCCTTACTATTTTGTCTTGAATTACATAGTTACATAGTAACTATGAATTGAATTGTGATTGTATTGTCTTCCTTATATTGTAAAGCGCTGCATGAACTGTTGGCGCTATATAAATCCTGTATAATAATAATACAAATTCAGATATGAGTTGCGGTGTGTTAACGAAGGTGCTTTGTGTCAGACACCCCATTGTTTTGTGCCATGTACCATTTTTCTAATGCGGAGTGCTATGGTGCCTTATTACTGTGCAGTGCGGGTGTGTGGTATTAAAGCGCTGGGGTGCTAATTAAAATAAATGGCACTGCATTATGCGTATTTTGGTAATGCATTTTTTGCTGCAATGCACAATTGTGGGTGGGCCCCTTATGATATTGGCCATTGAACGTTTCGTCAGATTGCTTCTTTTCCCCTTGTTGTGTGGAAGTCTGCAGTGTGTGTCTGTGGTTCTGTGCAAGACCAGTTGTCATGTGTTCATTTGTGGTGCTGACATGCGCCTGTGCTTGTGAAATTCATGTTAAGCTGCTTGCATCAAGGCCAGGCAGTTGTTTTGTAGGCTGAATCATTCACAAGAATGTAACCTATACATTGCTTGGGCTAATGCTGCAGACTCTGTAGAACACAACAAACAGCGCTGTATAGAGCGTCATTACCTCCAGTTCCTCTTTTTTACTGCTTTGTGTACCAGGTTAATTCCAACCGTTCATGACCATCACAGCTGATTCACTCCAGCATTCCCCTGTGTAACAGGTTCGTACAAATACTGTGACTGCTCTGTGCTTGGACACTAGCAGAGCTTCCAATTTGGGACCAAAACTTTAAGAACTCCAGGCAAAGAAAAAAAGTACCCTTGTAATGGGACTCTCCCCGCACTGAAAGGGTTAAGGCCACGTTTCGTGTAGGGGACTCGAACTGTTTAACTGATATTCCGAGGGGTCAGCGCTCCCCTCCCTCCACTTTGGCTGGTGAAATGATCCTCGACGTCCTGACCTCTAATACAAGTCAATGGAACTGCATAAGACATGGTGTCAGTGGGTCTTAAACCGTCACAGCAAAAGGAAGAAGAGGCTGGGGCGACTGGTCTAGCAGCTTGGAGGCAGCCGGATATACTGACGGTAACTAAAACAGCTTTAAGGGCTCATTCACACCATTGCCGTGCGTTACAATGCGGCATGTGCGTTGCGTTGCCATTCATTTGAATGATTTGAATACCCCAAATGGTCCTTCTGGCCACAATGTGCTCATCCACAATGCACGGTACCGCAATACCATGTTTTGCAGTGCGGTTGAAAAAAAGTAGTGCATGCACTACAGTGACATGGTATTGCACCGTGCATTACAGCGTGGTCGAGCGCATTGCGGCCAGGAGGTGCATTTGGAGTGCCATTCAAATGTATGGCAATGCAACAGACATGCCACACTGTAATGCACCGTGGGTGTGATGCGGGTGTTAATCGCAGAGAACCAGAGGATTAACACATTGCATTGGTGTGCATGAGTCCTAATGTTGCTCCCTAGACGAAACAAGCCCTGAACCCTTGCAGTGCAAGGGTACTTTTTTTTCTTTTTGCCCGGAGTTCTATAATGTGGGGAATTTGACAGGAGTGATGTCATATTGTAAATGATTGCGCTGAAATGAGGGACTACATGGGGATTTTTTTTTCCGATAGGGTGCTTTTTGTGCTCCAGTACACCTTTTTGTGGTTTGAAAGGTGTCATCGCAAAGCCGTCTAGTGCACACAGAGGTGCAATGAATTCTGCATAATGTACAGGTGCACTGGCGACACCTATAGGATGGAAGTGGGCATTGCATCTTTATCATAGACTACATGTACTTTGTTCATTTAACCTAGCACAGGACGTTCCTGTTTTTTGTTTGTTTTTGTATTTCTCAAGCAACTGAACTTTGTTTTCAGTGAAAATGAACATTGAAATACAAGGTTTTGTCATCCTTCAAGGACTAAGCATGTTTTAACCCCTAAACATTGTTTTACCCGTTACTAAAACCGCATGGGGTCCAGCCACGCACAAGGAGACACATTGTCTTGCACGGTGACACTTGCCAAGGCAAAGTTTGGGTTCTCCATCCCAAGTCTTTTAGATATTTATTACACTTCCTTCACTTGTATTTCACTACAGTTTTCCTGAAAAACAACGCATGACTTCACAAAATTCAACTGATATCACAGATTGGTAAAACTGTGTGATTTTTCACGTCATTCCTTAATTCCTGTAATTGGTGTTTTGTTTTTATTTTATTATGTTTCTGCTTTTGGTCCTCGTTACTGACTTCTGCCTGTTGTCTCTTCTTTCCTCACTTGTTGTACGTGTCCACTGTTGATGTCGCTGCTTCCAGTTTCTATCGCTTCTCCCCCTCCCCCAATGCCTCAAATGACTCCACAGATACCTCTCACAGGCTTCGTGGCCAGGGTGCAGGAAAACAGTAAGTCCTTCCTCTCACTGCTAAGGAGCACCAAGCCTTTCTTACTTGCATGGCCTAGCCAAAATGGCTGCAGAAATGCTTCTGCCATTCACTGGTTCAAGTTTTCCTGGGCTGTTCTTCATACAAGGGTCATACAACTGCATGATATATGACCGGTGTATGTATTAGAGTTGCTGAATTTAACACACAAGTTGACTTGTTTAAATAACCGTTCCAAGATATTAACAACCATTCACGGATATCTAGGTAGACTTTTTATTGCCGTAGTTTTAAAAGTGCTTAATGGTAGTGGCTCTGAAAATGGGAACCTATCGGTGATTGTAGCCGAGCGTGTGCTCTCAAAGCTTAGTGCCTGGGAATCCCGAAGACCAGGAGCCATGTTTTTATAAAAAAAATATCGACCAGCTCCTGTGGTCAAGAACATGGCTCACCTCTTGTAGTACATCATAGTTACTAACCAGCAAGTAGCCATAGGATGTGTTGGGGGGACCACTCTTTCTAGATTGTTGGAGCTGGTCAAGATTTGCATGTTCAGGAAGGATGCCTATCATAGGTACAGACCGATAAGGAAGCCTCCTCTCTCTCCTCTAGACCAGCGTTTCTCAACCTTTTTTTTTTTTTTTTTTTTTCCAGTCAAGGCAACCTTAAAAAGTATGCAAAATCTTGAAGCACATAGAAAAGTGGGGTTCCATCCTTTGCATCAGAGTCCTTACTTCAAATCAAGTTTCACATCAGAATTTTCCCTTTCACATTAGAAGCCCCCTCCTTTCACATCACAATTCTCCTCTTCACATTAGAAGCCCCCTCCTTTTACATCACAATTCTCCTCTTCACATTAGAAGCCCCCTCCTTTTACATCACAATTCTCCTCTTCACATTAGAAGCCCCCTGCTTTTACATCACAATTCTCCTCTTCACATTAGAAGCCTCCTCCTTTTACATCACAATTCTCTTCACATTAGAAGACCCCTCCTTTTACATCACAATTCTCCTCTTCACATTAGAAGCCCCCTGCTTTTACATCACAATTCTCCTCTTCACATTAGAAGCCCCCTCCTTTTACATCACAATTCTCCTCTTCACATTAGAAGCCCCCTGCTTTTACATCAGAATCCATCCTTTTAAATCCGATCCCCATTCTTATCAGCGTTCTACCATCACACAATTTCTGAGGCACCCCTGAGGAAGCCAAAAGGCACCCTGGTTGAGAAAGGTTGCTCTAGACCAGGGGTGCCCATTAGGTCGATCACAAAGCGATCCCTGATAGATCGCGATGTCCTCCTGCCGTGGGGCTTCTCTGGATCCCCGCTGCTCTCCCCCATCTGTATGCAGCGGGGATCCGAGGAGAAGTGAACGAAGCTCTGCGGAGGATGGAGCCGCTATCACAGCAGCACGCCAAGCGGTGTGAGAGAGAGCTGCTTTACCTGGATCTGACAGCCGGGGGCTCTCTCTCTTCACCGCACATGCTGCTGTGACAGTGGCTCCGCCCCCCGCCCAGAATCTCTCCCCCCCCCACGGCTGAAGTGCTTCCCTCACTTCTCCACGGATCCCTTCTCTGCCCACACATATACATTAGAATGTTTTGAGTGGTTTTCTATATCCAGGGGCAACTATTGGTAGCATGTTAATTTCAGGCTTCAGAGCTGCATGACTACAATATACCAGATCACGTCTGCAAAGCTTTATCATATATAAGACTCCCCTTCCCCATTACTTTGGAAACGTGTTGCAAAAATAAGTTGGTGTTATCACATAGCATAACTTTGATAGACTTGAAGGCCCTTGTTTTCATCACAGAAATCTGTAATTGGATTTTATCTGTAGTGCAGACTGCTGGTGAAAACTGGCATTGCAGTGTGACCAGAACAACCAAAGCATGTATTTTACTGGACTATAGTCTTCTAGGAAGTATAAGCAATAGCTGAAGGGGGTTGTATAATATTCGGGGGCCCTTCTGAAACCCTGTATTGGGAAACCTTTGTCGTACGGGGCCTTTTTCTTTTAATTCTTGAAAATCTATTTAAAGCACAGTGGAGGCAGCTATTATGTGTAGCTAATCACACTCTGAAAAATAAGAGTCTCTGCCGAGGGTATGAAATCATTTATTGCAATAATCGCTTATTGCTTACAACCAGATATGATCTGTAGAATGTCTTCCAAATGAAAGTGACACTAAACTCAGGAGTTTCATCCTAAAAATACATTCACATACTAACTAATACCAAAAATGTATCTTATTTGTGTATCTCTCGGCTGTAGATCCTCAAATCATCTCTGAATTCATACTGACACTGTCCTTCCTTCTGGAGGGTAACTATTTTTGTTCCCCATGGTCAAACTAAATATGAGATTAGTTTACCAATTTGTATTGAGATTGTAGCCCATCACAGGAGCGAACTTGGAGTGGTGACCACTTTCCAACAAACACAGGATTCATGGGGAATAAAAGTAGCCCCCCTCCAGAAGGAAGGACAGTGTCAGCACCAATTCAGAGATGATTGGAGGATCTACAGCCGAGTGATACCCAAATAAGATAGATTTTCGTGAATGGTTGAGTTCGTTGAATGTATTTTCCGGATGTAATTCCTGAGTTTAGTGTCACTTTAAATACAAATGGGCCCCTCTTCTGGATTCACAAGGAATGCGATTCTTCAGATTTTGTCTGTAGTGCTGCCTGCAGGTGGAACCCAATAAATCTGATTTGATCATTTTAAGGTATGAGCAGAATTTATCAAGCCTCAGAGTCCATGAGGTAGGAATGGTTCTGTCACTCATGGTGGGGAAGTAGAAGCCAGACTCTGATTAATTCATCTTAGAATGTGCTGTTCATGTGCTTAGCTTTGCATCTGCAGATCTAGATTTAGTATTCAGCGTACACCAAAATGAGAAAGCTGATGCTGTCTGCTGTGGCTGCATGTCCTCGAATGCATGACTTTTATTCTGCTGCAGTACATTTATGTCTTTGAACCCTTTAACTGATGTAATTGTGAATTTGTAGTATTCTAGAGTGCTCTAGATCACCTAAAATATTTTATAGGAAACCTCCATGTCTTGGGTGGGGAGTGAGGGTGGGCATCTTGTGTGAATCATACCTTTTCAGCCTTAATGTTTACTGGCAGCACTGCGAAGTTCCTCTGACAGTCTCTTCTTATTGTATACATTTCTGTTCTTATCATGTGACCCCTCATTAAAGTCATTTGGGATGGGAGTAAAGTCACAAGAGGAACATAATCGCTGTGTTGTATCTGCAGACTTCAGGTAGTGTGTAATTTTACCTCCAGTAGTCCCTGGCATCAAAATACAAAATCAAAAGTTTTTCCGTGGAGGTCTCCTTTTACATCGGCAGGGATTTTTGCTCTTGTCTTGTTTAGGAGTCATTACAGAAGTGTTAGACTCCCGGTTTTTATGCTGTAAATGTGTTTTTTATAATGGGTTTTCCTTTCCTCTCGCCTGCCTTAAGTTGCAGATAGCCCTACTCCTCCTCCTCCGCCACCTCCTGACGAGATCCCAATGTTTGATGATTCTCCTCCCCCTCCCCCACCACCTCCGGTGGACTATGAGGATGAGGAGGCTGCTGTGGTTCAGTACAACGATCCGTATGCTGATGGAGACCCGGTATGGGCCCCTAAGTCCTATATTGAGAAAGGTACGTGAATGCAGATCATTGCTGATGGTCACACTTGTAAAATGTGAACCAGGTACAGTGGTATCTCGGTTCACGAAAGCTTCTGTTCGCTAACAGGAAGTTCCGCAAAATGTTGCTTCTGTTAACGAACTCCGTATCGGGTGACTAACAGAACCGCAGCCACCTTCCCTGCTCTGACACTGGTCGTGGCTTCCTCTAGTTGAGATCGCAGACTGATCACAGTTTGATTCGGTTCCCGACCAATTCGGTACCCGAGCAGAATCGTGGAACGAATTAAGTTTGTGAACCGAGGTACCACTGTACTTTTATAAGAATACACTAAACTTGAATCTGGTTTAAAGTAAAGGGAGATTTTAGCCTTTTTATTTGTTTTAATATGTTCGTGATCAGCTTAAAGCTGAACATTAGGCAGATATAAAGGACACGCATTGATGCAGATTTGTAATAATTAATAAATCTTAAGATATCTTTTTTTCTAAATGTGACCGGTGTAAGTACCTGAATTTGACTTGACATCCGCCTCTTGCGGTCCCTGTACAACAGGGATCAGGTGTGTAAGGAAAAAGTACCACCATTTAGTTTATATGCCGGCAAAACACGCCAATAGGAGGAAAAATCAGTGTCACTGAACTAGGACCACTGTCCTAGTTCTCCTTTCACTGTCCAGTCACAGCCTGGGCTGAGAGGAAGTGGGTTGAATGATGCTGGCCCCTAAACTGGGGGCATCTAGTGGTGGAAAAGAAGTACTATGAAGGATCGCTCTGAACTGAAGCTTATTGCAGAAAAGGCGATTTTTGAAAGGGCTGTTACATTTTATCTTTGCTGGAAATCTGCTTTAATGTGAATCTAATCAATGTGTGTTTTTAAAACCTAACTTAGTGACTCTAAACTAAGAAATTTAATCTTAAAAATACATTCAAGTCCCTTCACTATTAAAAAAAATGTATAAAAAATGTATCTTATGTGTGTATCAGTCGGCTGTAAATCCTCAAATCATCTCTGAATTGGTGCTGACACTGTCCTTCCTTCTGGAGGGTGGCTACTTTTATTCCCCATGGTCTCTGTGTGTGTTGGAAAGTAGCCACCGCTCCAAGCTCACTCCTGTGATGAACTACAATCTCAGGTTTAGTTTACTAATTTGTATCTGGTTCTAGTCCTGGACACAACTTGGGCCAGAGTGTACACAGAGTTCTTCCACAGCAGAATATTCAGACACTCGGGTCTCAGATTTGATCTCTCCAGTACAGGAGCCTGCCGATTCGTTGCATGAATGTCCTAGGTCTGATGGTAGCCTCTTTTGAGGTGGTCCCATTTTCCCAGTTTCACTCTAAACCCCTACAACTCAACGGTCTTTTGTAGTGGTAAAGTCCATTTGGATTCTTGATAGATCTGTTCGCCTATCACCGATGACCCAGTTGTCCTCGTCTTGCTGGTTTAGGAATCCGATTCTGGAGTTAGGGAAGTTTTTTTTATTCCTGTCTTTAATGGACCCCAGCCTTGTCAGCTGATAACATCCTGTGCTCTCTGCCTGTGCTGCAGTGTCATCAGTTTCAATGTTTTTGTTAGTATGAGGACAACAATACTCTACAATAGGTTTCTGTAGTCCTGTTCTGTTTTGGTCATCCTGATACAGTAGGGCGAGTTGTCACCCTAAGACAGGAAGTGCGTATTGTGCACTGGCGGAATCACCAGGTGAAAATAAAGTGGGGAAAAAGCCTGAAGGAAGAATAATGTAGCTACAACATCTAAGGGCTGTGAAGCTGCAATATTCTATATTTTTGTTTTTGGGTTTAGAGACACTTTAAAGCAGAGGTAGCCAAACTGCGGCCCTCCAGCTGTGGTGAAACTACAAATCCCATGATGCATCTCTCTCCTGGAGTCGTGGCTGTGAGAATCTTGCAATGCCTCATGGGATTTGTAATTCCACCACAGCTGGAGGGCCGCAGTTTGCCTCCCCCTGGTGTAAAGTATTGAAGCCAGACATCCCGGTAACTTCTTGTATTTTCAGAAGAAGGTCCTCTGTGGCAGCTACATGGGTTTCTCAGGCCTAGCGTATTTTAAAGAAAGAGAGAGGACGTTGTTTAGCACATTTGTATGTGTCCCGGGGCTGTAGTCCATCTGTATTACAATGTTGGAGTTTCCATAATGCAGATGTAAGGGTAAAAAACGGGAGATGTTCAAACATTGAGTGGCCAAGTTTCCGGAGAGCAGTAGTAGTAGTTCAGGTTTTCCATGCCTGGCGTTTCCTTTTATTATTTATGAATGAAGTTGATTGCCATTGATGATGCTTTTGATACTTTCTGACCACTGCATTCTTTTAATTCCGAACTCTTTTTTTTTTTTTTCTGTTCCCCCCCCTCCTACTTTCTAGTGGTTGCCATCTATGACTACGCAAAGGACAAAGAAGACGAGCTGTCCTTCATGGAGGGATCAATCATTTATGTCATTAAGAAAAACGACGACGGCTGGTATGAAGGGGTATCCAACGGAGTCACAGGCCTCTTCCCGGGAAATTACGTGGAATCCATTATGCACTATGCCGATTAACGTTTAAAAAGAATCCAGATTTTTTTTTTCGTTTTCTTAAACTTCAGTACCAAGTCTAATCTGATTTTAAACTTAAGTGTACGAAGTAACGTCTTCATATAAACTATGGCTTCTACATTTTGTTTTAATTTTTTTAACCCTAAAGGGGATTTTAGACCTGATAAAGCTGTGTTCTGGGGAAACGTCTACCCATAAGCCTAAAGACCAGTTGGTATGTAGACGCCACAAATCCTCGCACCAGTTGTTGCTTCTCTCCACATCTGCATCTTTTTTTTTTTTTTTCTAAACATTTTTTTAATCCTTTTGACCGGCGTGACTAGTCCATTGGGACCATAGGGTGTAGTGTATAAAATAAAAATCATGAATCATTGTGTGCCACATACGTATGTTTTACTTGAGACATAAAGTATATTTTTCTGTGCCGCATGAAAAGCTAACACTATGTTAGAGTACCATTTAACATTTGGACTTGAGTGATAACTGCTGGTCATATTTTTACTAGGTAACTGTTCATTCTTACTATTAAATATTTGTTTTAAGGCATGCGTTCAGGAAAAAAAAAATGTATGTACTGATTTTTAATTTAATTTTTTAACCCCACAATGCTTCCAATTTATTGTACTTACCATAAGTCTTCACTGGTTTTCGGAAGTTGTCGAGTCTTGAAGTGTCCCATCTGTAAGACGAAAAACGGTTGTGATCTGTGTTTGTTTTTTTTTCATACCGCATCACCTCCTTCAGACCGCCATTGTGAATTCCGCATCTTTCAGTACAGAAGCGCACCACGGTTCTGCGGCCGTTTGTCTTTTTTGCAAGGTTTTCCCGCAGTACAGAGCCAAAAGATAAAGTGTTATTTAAAGGCACAATGCTTATGGGAAGTAGCACAGGAAGAAGAAAAACCTGTAGACCTTTCCGTGAAGCATAGAATCATTTTTTTTGTATTTGGAAAGTCTATGTGATCTTATTCTGTTTCCAATAAACTGTATCCATACTCCATGATCGGCGACGATGCTGACTTCACTGCATGACTTAAATTTGACTGGATGTTATAAATGTATAAGCGATTGCACCTTTTACAACTGTAACATGAATCGTTTTTGTACTTAATCAGTTATACGATGTATTATCGGCATCTATGCTGTCATGAGAGCGGCATGACCAATACTTAATGGTTAAAACCACTTTGCTATAGGTGGCATGGCACAAACCTAACTGATTGTAATAAGAGGAAGAACAACGCCCCGGCAATAGGTAGTAGGTGGTTTTTTATATTGAATTTGTTTTTGTTATATGTTGCCTCTTGATCTTTATTTGCAGTAAGAGATATTCCTATCCTACCAGTTGCCTTGGTATGGTAAGGACCAGTAATCATACCCTTTTATGAACTTATAATTTTCTTGCGCTGTCTCATGCAAAGACCAGGAATGTACATATGTGTGAAAATGTAGAACAAGCACCCCCCCCCCCCTTCTAAAAATTTTTCTTACCGCCTACATTTCT